TGATTTTCGGGGAAACTTTCCATTATGGCCGTTCGTTAAAGGTGCCGTAGGCGAAGGGGGAGTGGGCGTGGCACCTCCAACCGACCTTTTTGGAGAGGGCATAAACCGCCATTGACAAAAATGGAACCCCCGACCACCTAGGCCCCCTATGGTTCCCTACGGACCCCTTAGAAAAATTGCCAAAAATCGCAATTTTTACTTGCGTCTACAGTATTTTTGCGTAGAATTCCTTTCTGCGTAGGCGGCCTTCGGCCGCGCTTAGGAATTATAACCTTTACTACGTAGAATTCGCCTGGGGCTGCCGCCCTATTTCGCCGTCTATTTTAGTTACTGGGTGTTTTATAAAAATGTCTTGTATATAAAAATGTGTATATAAAAATGTATTGTGCAAATGAATATTTAACATTTTTGAAGCGAATAAACGCAAATGAAAATTGTGATTTTTGGCAATTTGTCTAAGGGGTCCCTAGGGAACCATAGGGAACCTAGGTGGTCGGGGGTTGCATTTTTGACAATGGCGGTTCATTCCCTCTCCAAAAAGGCGTGTTATAGGTGCCACGCCCACTTACCTATAGCCCACCGCCGCTTTAACGAAAGGAAAGCCAACCCTGATTTTCCGCTATTTTATCTTGACAGCGTGGTTGTTATTGTAAATTTTATACATTAGTTTTCTTTATTGTATGTATAGTTTCAGGCAGGCAAATCTAGGGATGAAACGATACCAGTAAATACAAGTACGCACTCGATACTTTTCTTTCGATACTAAGTAATTTTTGCATCGATACTTTTGAACCAAGTACTGTGTAAATATCAAAACCAATACTCGTCTCGAAATCCGATACCAATGCGAATTTTTGGAATGCCTTTTTAACGCCAGCGCCCTTCAAAACCAGGGAATCCATTTTCGTGGTGGCAAAATACCACAAAATCTATTAAACATTTTTTTTTTTAGCTAATTGCACGCTGTTCTTAAGTCAAAAGAATAAAAATGCAAAGAGATATGGGTTTAAAACTTTTTTAACACTTCATTTCGAACTGGTTTCAGTCCAAAGAAGGAAAATATTTTAACCATCTATTTTAGAAAGTCGTTATAAATGTCAATTCTACCACCCGAGACTATTTTTCCTGAATATCCAATCTCAAAAGCTTCTAAACGTCGTTGCAGTTAATTCGCTATCTCTTCTCGTTTGGTTTTGTCTATTTTTTTTCAAAACCACTATTGTTCTTCGCTCTGAACACATTATCAGATAATAATAAAGGTGGTGGAGACTAGCTCTATTATTTAAAAAAGAAGCAAAGGAGAAAAGAGTAGGGAGCAAAGCGTGGATGCCAAAGAAAATCCTAGAATGTTCAACATAGCCCAGAAATTTTTTATCGAAATGTAAGCTTTCTAAGAACTCGCCATATAAAATCCGTTAATTTTTACTATAAGAGGTATAAACCTGAAATTTTGTCAACTTATAAACTTTTATTATTCGGAGTTTAGAATTTCAGCTCATACGGAATACCTTCATAGACAAAAGTACCGATACGAGTAGGTATCGATACTTTAGATCCGACATTTTTCGTGTATCGATACTTTCTTACGATACTAATTTGAAGTAAAAATATCTCCATGGTATCGTCTCATCCCTAGGCTCATCCTAAACTATATATTTATCAATTTTATTGGTGCTTATTAACATTTTTATTTTAATATTTTTAATGAGCGTTGTACCATGATTTGTTTATTAGGGAAAATTGAAAAAAATAACACGATGGCTGCATTTCTTTATTCATTATGAACGTTTGGAGTACACTTTTTTGTTTATTTATTCTTTAGAACGTTCCTGATGATACGTTGATGTATATTTCAAACGCATTCTGTTTATTCCGGCTGTGAAATGGGATTATCCGGGATGTATAAAGAAACGCAGCCGATATGTTATCTGAACGCATGATTCAATTACTAAAGGTTTTGTAAGTAGCTTTTTTCTAAAATTTGACGCTCCCACCCACAGGGATAGTTTTTAGATGCAGGAGAAAAGGGAAAGAATTCAATCACACTTCCTAAAATGGTAGCTAAATTCCACAAAACGGTGTGGATAAAAGTGAATGGAGGTAATTTAAAACCAAAATTATCTAATTTAAACAAGCTTATTTACATCGAATATAAGCCCTGATTTTTATTAAAAATAAATATTTCTATGTATATGTATGCCAAACTTTCGTACGCCAGACGGCGCATAACTCGAGAATGAATTGTCCACTATGAGATTTTATTTGTCGTATTTGTTTTTCAGATAAAGGATATGAAGAAGCTAATTGTTTGTGGAAAACATATAAAAACATTTGTAGCTTACATTTCTCTCGCGGTTATGGCTCGATTGCTTCGAATATGGTAATTCGAGTTCTTTGATGTTGCACTTTTATTGTGCTAGGGAGATTATACCACCGCCAGAATATTAAACATTGGCTTACACAGTCGCGATTAGCAATTCGTGCTGGATGAACTCAGAATAAAATGAAACATGCAGCTACTGAACGACTGAGACAGGGAATGTAATTTGCATCGTCAAATGAGAAGTGCCGTAAATGTGCAATTACATCACGGCATTGCCTAAACCGAGCTGTCGTGTGTTACTATTGGGCCCATGGATGCGGGTTGCCAATATTATATTGCGTCAAAGTCTCATTCGGAGACACCAGGATTGTGTTGTGTAGGACAATACCTAAATACCTTCGTTGACTCATTTACCAGAACGCGCGCTTTACTTTACAGGGACTTGGCAGAGTCAAGAGGTCTCCACGAATATCGACAAATACATTTTCGGCATTTCGTCTCTTTGGCCTATATTGAATTTCTGTAGTCTAACGATTCTCATCCATTTTGACATGTTGCCGCCAGCGAATGAAGAACAACCATTTCTTAAAATTTAAAACGTAAAAGTTTCACTAAAAATTAAACAATGTTCTTAAAACCTGCAAAGGAAATTGAAAAAAAATATCACTGATTTTATTTTAGGAGTAAATAGGATGGGAGTGTCATTGATAAAATTAGAGCGAGAAAAAGTTGTTCTTACAAAACCTTTCATTATTGAATCATTATCTGAACGTAGAATTTTGCGTTCTTTCTGAATTTGAGTTAAAAAAAAAATAAAAAATGTTGACCTCGATATGACCTTGAAATTGACCCTTACGTTATTTTGCTACTCGGCATTGGAGATCTAGTGTTTCTAATGAATTTTACACAGTTTTTAAACAAGTTTTAAGTTAAAACTAAAATGGGCTGTGGGGGTAACGTTCAGAAAGAATACCCCATATATTTTACAACGCTTTTATCAACTTGCAATGTTGTGTGTCCAGAAACTTTCAATGTTGTGGATCCAGAAACTTTCAATGTTGTGTGTCCGACACCATAAAACCTTTGCTTTGAAAAGTTCCTATAAAAAAG